AATTTAGTCTTAGAAATAATGGATATAATTAACCTGGTAGAAGTATGTGTTGAAAACTCATTTTTTCAAATTAATAGCAAAGTTTGTAAACAGAACGAAAGTTTGGCTGTGGGTTCTCTTTTATTTCCGTTATTGTGTGAGTTATTTATGGACAATTTTGAAAGTGAAGCACTAAAAAAAAGCAGATACAAAACCTGAAGTTTGGTTAAGGTATGTGGATGACACATTTTTGATTTGGAGGCGTGATAAAAATGAACTAGCTAATTCTGCTAATTACCTTAATAACATTGATAATTCTACAAGATTTAATTATGAAGTTGAGATAAATGGTTGTTTACCTTTTTTGGATGTTTTAATGAGCAAAATTAAGGATAAATTGGAAACTACCATTTATCGTTATCCTTTCTCTGTAATCATTCCGCCACATCAACAATCTTGTCACACTACATCTCAAAAACCTGTGTTTCTTACTCTTATGGGGCTAGGATACTAAAACTATGTTGTAAACAGGATGATATCAATAGTGAGTTATTGTTAATTAAGCACATAGCAATGGAAAGAGGTTTTAATCCAGATGTTGTTGAGAGAGCTGTCATAAAACTAAAAAACAGGTATAAAAATATTAAGTTAAAACCATTTGCTGAAAAAGTAAGAAATAATGTTTAGTGCTATCATATATACCTGGTTTATTTTGTCAAATAACGAAAAAATTTAAAAACAAATAAATATTTTTCCGATATACAAACCGATGAACAAAGTCAGCCATATTCTTAATACAACTAAAGATAAAACTGATTTAATGGAAAAATTTGGTATATATAAAATACTATGTGAATGTAAAAAAAGTTTATATTGGACAAACTAGAAGACATTTAAAATTCAGACTGAATGAACAAAAATGTTACAAAGAATAATATTATTATTTCACCTTTAGCAGAACATGTTAATGAAATTAATCACACAATTCAATGGGAAAAAATTGTTATTTTAATTATTTTAACAAAACCTGGAAATTTAATTGGCATGAATATACGTGAATCTATTGAGATAATTAAATGTAAAAAAGTAAATTTAAATTATTGAATAAGGATGATGGACTTGATGTCAGGAGATGGCATGAAATTCTTTAATATGTAAATTGGTGTTTTGATAATTCTATAAATAAGTGTAATTTTTATAAAACATTACACTCCTGAGGATGACGCAGTAGTATCGTCGAAACATGTAAAGTGTATGAGATTGTTTTCCAGTCTCATCGGGGTTTTCTACCACTTTTTATCCTGTTCAGTAAGTTATTATATTTTAGTAATTTGGAGACTGGAAACAATCTCATTTTTATAGAATTGTGTATAAAATAATCGTTTATTTTTTAAATTGTGAGTGTTTTTACATTGGTTGACTGCGGGGAATCGAACACCTTATTTTAACGTTGTTAGTCCTTAAACTCGCCGCTGTCGCACCAGGGAACACGAAAAAACAGAAACAAAAAGTTATTCTGTTATTGCATTCGATCAGTATTGTAACATTTTGTTATTGAAAAATCGTCATTTTATTAAATATTAACAACTATTTATGATTTTTTTTTGTACAGAAAAGTTTTTTATAAACGTAACATTATCACTGATTCGTCCAAATCATAGACTGGACAAAATTATTCAAAAACAACAAGTAGGTTTTTTCTAATGTTAATTAGAAAGAATAATGAAATATGAACTGTTTATTTAATTAACTTCTTTAATACGTAAGCAATAACAAAAAATTAAAAGTCCTTAAAAGGGTAAGTGGAAACATACTTTCATAAACTAAAATGTCAAGAAAAATAGTTCTCCTGCTAATTAGATTTTGAAAATCTTGACCGAAGAAACTTCTATTTGAAAGAATGGATAGTAATAGAAACGTTAGCTCCATCTTACGGATGTTTCAGTCAACTGTAACGAATTTACACAAGTGAACCATCGTTAATGTGTTTTGACACCATCTGGCAATAAATTAACCCAATGAATTCAAATTCGATGACGAGGAACCCACTTTGAGACTAATAATGGCTGGAGACGGCTTGAATGGGTAATGAAGAAAAAATTTAATATAAGTTTAACGTTGTACATTTGCTGTTATGTTAAACTTATATTAAAGTTTTTCTTCAGTACCCATTCAAGTCGTCTCCAGCCATTATTAACCCAATGAAGTATAGTGATAAACCGTGTTGCAAGATGTATGTCAGTACAGCGATGAACCGTGTTGCAAGATGTATGTCAGTACAGCGATGAACCGTGTTGCAAGATGTATGTCAGTGTAGAGATGAACCGTATTGCAAGATGTATGTCAGTACAGCGATGAACCGTGTTGCAAGATGTATGTCAGTGTAGAGATGAACCGTATTGCAAGATGTATGTCAGTATAGTGATGAACCGTGTTGCAAGATGTATGTCAGTATAGTGATGAACCGTGTTGCAAGATGTATGTCAGTACAGCGATGAACCGTGTTGCAAGATGTATGTCAGTGTAGAGATGAACCGTATTGCAAGATGTATGTCAGTACAGTGATGAACCGTGTTTCAAGATGTATGTCAGTACAGTGATGAACCGTGTTGCAAGATGTATGTCAGTGTAGAGATGAACCGTGTTGCAAGATGTATGTCAGTGTAGAGATGAACCGTGTTGCAAGATGTATGTCAGTATAGTAATGAACTGTAAAAACTGATCATCAGTCAGCCAGTGTAACAAAGATGTCCCCTGTGGGTGGGTCACTAGTTGTGAAAATACCTGATTGGTTTGTTATTAAAACAACAGTTTGAGAAAGAAATGCAAAATTTTCTGTTGCCCGACTTCAGACTACCGAGACATTAAAATCTGTGGTTTTTGTATTGCCCAGCTTCAGACTACTGAGACTTTAAAATCTGTGGTTTTTGTATTGCCCGGCTTCAGACTACCGAGACTTTAAAATCTGTGGTTTTTGTATTGCCCGGCTTCAGACTACCGATACATTATAATCTGTGGCTTTTGTATTGCCCAGCTTCAGACTACCGAGATATTATAATCTGTGGTTTTTGTATTGCCCGGCTTCAGGTCACCTAAACATTATGATCTATGGATTTCCTGTTTCCTGGCTTCGGGTCACCTTGACATTATATCTGTTATTTTCCATGTCACTTAGATACAGTGATCTGTAGAGTTCCTGTTGTTCGACTTCAGGTCATCTAGAAATTATAATCTGTGATTTTCCTGTTTCCCAACTTCAGGTCACTTAGAAATCATAGTCTGTGATTTTCCCCTTGTTCGACTTCAGGTACTTAGACATTATAATTTGTATAATTCCTATTTTAGCAGAAAATGTGAATCAACTTGTTTGATATCTTCCTACATTAAGTGACCAAGTTAATGTCTTCGTGAGAGATAAACTGGCAAGTATGGCAGAATGTTGATTACAAATAAAATATCTGGTATAAACTATTGGGTGTTCTAATACTGTCCACTAATTACTTGTCTAGATTTAATCACTTTTGTGTGTGTTTTACAAAGCCAAAGATGAAAAGAGGATACTGCAAGTCATATACGCTTTATGTATCTGGATAACCAGATAAAACTTCATGAACACGCTCTTAATTCTCTATCTATTTTTTAATTTCGTGGTTTTATTGACGGACATAATTACATTTCACAGTGTGAGAAATATGTCAATTCAAGACTTGAAACATTATCAGTTATTATTATAATACAGTAATTCTAATTTGGTCTACAATATGAGAAAACAGTTTGGAAAGTGATAAAGTATATATACAAAATATAAACGCAGTTTTAATTTAAATATGAGAACAATGGCCCAATCATGAAACTACAACTCTTCTATTACACAATTCTTTATTTCTAAATATGACAAGGCGGCTCCTCTAGTATCTCAGCTGTAAGTCCGAAGGCTTATAATGCTGAAAATCGGGTTTGGATAACTGTGGTGGGAATAGCATAGACAGCCCATTGTGTGTAGCTTTGTGTTTAGCAACAAAACAAACAACAGTGATACAGTCAGGAAGCTACAGCGTTTGTGCACATCATTGTTGGAACAGAGTAAGTACTGTGGAACGGTTCACCACAATTATGCTACGTTATAACTTTTCATCGCTGGAACAGAGCAAGTATTGTGGAACGGTTCATCACATTTATGCTACGTTATAACTTTTCATCGCTGGAACAGAGTAAGTATTGTGGAACGGTTCATCACAGTTATACTACGTTATAACTTTTCATCGCTGGAACAGAGTAAGTATTGTGGAACGGTTCACCACAATTATGCTACGTTATAACTTTTCATCGCTGGAACAGAGTAAGTATTGTGGAACGGTTCATCACAATTATGCTACGTTATAACTTTTTTTGTTATGTAAAAATGTCTTCCTGCTTTTGAGTTACAACATTAAAAATGAGCTGTTGGTGGTCACATTCACTGTTCAGAAGAGTATCGTTTCTTCAGCGCGCGATACTTCTTCAACAGGTACAGTGCTTCCAGTTCCTTAATAATATACTGTCCCCTAGCCAGCAACATCTCAATTTGAGCTGGTCCAGTTACATCATTGTTCTTCATAAATGCTGACTTCAGGCGAGTACGAAAGTAGTCGTATCCTTTAGGGTAATCACGTCCTAAGTACAGCAGCTAAACAACACAATCAATCTTTTAATTATCTTCAGGTATTTCAAATATAACAATAAACAGTCAAGTAATTTAAAGTGGAATCAAGTATTGGATGACAACATCTGTTGCAGATGTAATATGATTTTGTATTATCTTATAGAAAAAAGAGTAAATTTGCAGCTAGATTTAGACACTTGTGTTTTTTGTTCACTCTAGAATGCTATTTTTCAGAATCTCGTCTATATATTGTTATTGAAATATTCAAAAATAACCAATAGCGTTTACTGAAATTACATATTTAAAATTATTTCCACATTTCGAGAGAAATAACTTACTCTCAAACAAACTATGGATTACGTAAAATGATGCACTCTGTATAATAGACCACGTATAATGACATGTTTTGTAATATAGATTAAGCATAATACTAACTTTATGCTAGTATGTAGTATTAACATGGAACATGACACGTGTATCGTACTGACAAGTTGAAAAGATGTCAGTATGTAGTACTTACTGATAAGGACTATAATTCAGTTGCTTTGAAACCATCTTCATACATGTAAATGTTGAACACACGCATACATTTGACAGAATAAACACAATGTGTGTCTTACAAAAAATTACTTCGCAATTCGATACACGAATCCGACATTAATAACAAAATAATAATATTAATCTTTAAAAGAATTAAAGCTGTTTCCTAACATATCAATTACCAAAGACTGAACGGCTAAACATTATAGCAATTTGGAAGAATTTTGTGTATTTTTAATCCGTTTTTTTTTCATATAACAGGGAATTGAATAAAACATAAGGAGAAATTATAACTTTCTTTCATAAATAGGCAATCAGTGCTGGTAAGGAACACGCATGTTTTTAAAAAGACAGGAAAGGAAATATTTGTCTAAATTTTTTATGAAAATAATACATTTATTCCTCCACTTTCGAAAGATATTTATATCAAAACTTTACAGTAAGTGGAAACAATTTTTACTGACTATTTCTTAATTTTAATCAATACCTTCCATTTAAATGGTAAAGAAACTTTAAAATACGTTAAAACTTGTATTTATAACAGAGTTCAAAACCTACATTTTTATAAAGCTGTATTACACGACTTCGAGAAGAAGCCATCTTTGGTTTGTCAAATCTTACAGCTCATCCAGTGCTTGTACATCCAGACTTCTACTAACAGATCATGCTGCAAGGAAATGAATAACATTCAGTAATGGATATCTTTAGTCCGTTCTTACAGACGATACCTTTTATCACTTATCTGATAACAGAAGCAAGCTGAGTGGATGATAAACTAAATCGTACATTAAGAAAGTTGACTTGTTGATTAGCTTGGTGATGAGTGAGGGTTGCTGGTCTAGGGTTACTTTTGAACATGAATAAACAGTTTACATCATATACTCAAACTTCTTCTATACATTTTAGGCAAATGAAAGGCACACACTTTTGAAGTAGGTTTTTAACTCGTACACTTCTACTAATGAATGTATTGTCAAAACCACTTACAATATTTCCTGAACAGTAAAAACTGAAAGTTTGGTACAAACAGCACATGTGTTAATAAAGAAACATCCTTGTGCCCATTTCTTCATGAACATGTGCTAAATTGTGTATAAGTGTTATGTTCCTAATCATGACGATAGATCACTAATTGATGTAAATTTTAACGAATCTGTTATTACAAACAAAGAATAGAAACGTTCAAAGGATTCAAATATTTACAAAACATATTTCAACTCTGTAAAACTCAACTGCATAAAAATTGTAAACGTTTTTTAAAATGTACATTTTTGTATAATTCTGAAAGCCTTTAACTGAATGGGTAACAATAACAGTAAAATTACGTCCTCACTTGAGTAACAACCAGGAAAGACTAGTAACCCAATCTGTAATGACCCTCATATGTTTTCCTGGAAAGTTAGCTTAAAGTTATGTTCAAGAATATGTTTTAAAGAAAAATTTAATATATGTTAAGGTACAAATAAAATGTTTTGATTACATATTAAAATTAAAGCATATTACACAAATCTTGCCTATCGTTTCTATAACGTTATAGTTTATTTTATATTTTGAATATTTAAAGTAAATTTGTAGTGACGATAATTATACAAAGATTATGAAAGTCCAAAACACGAACAAATTGGGAAAAAAATGATTCGGTGAAACAAAGGATTGTTGAAAATTTCCTTTTAAATTATTTCTATTTTGCTTTTGCAGTTGGACCCGATTGTTTAATCCAAGTATCCATCTCCGGATGAATGGAGCGTCTTGCTATTATAAACTTTTTTTATTTCGGTAAGCTGAGACCTTTGACCCATAATAGAGCGTAACGTGTACTTTTTCTTCGGCGAACTATATATATTTATGAATATTTATCCACTCATCTTCCACTCTACAATGTTAGTTTCACGTACAGTCAAACAGCGTATTTTATTTAAGGCACACATGACCTATGACAAGACATAACGAGTCTTGTTTTTTTTTTCAAGTTATATCTGTATGAACAATGGCTTAAGTTATCGATTTCTCTTACAATAGGAGACCTACGTGGACTGTTGGTTAGGACACTCGATCTGAGAGTCGCAGGTCTGAATTCCCTCACCGTACTCTCTCGCCCTTTAATACGTGGGGGCGTTATGCGATGGTCAATCCCATTTTTCATTGGTAAAGAGTAACCCCAGAATTAGCGGTGGGTGATGTTGACCAGTTGTCTGCCCTCTAATCTATTACTTTTAAATTAGGGACGGCTAGCGCAGGTAGCCCTCGAGCAGCTTTGCGAGGAATTCAGTAACCAAACTCTTACAGTACAGCATATTTTGTTTAGGTTAAACGCAACCTTTGATGCATGACAGAAAGTAATGAATTTTATTTTTGTTTTTTCGACAACTTTAACAGTGACGTCATATCCTCTTGTTTGGACAGACCCCATACAACTTCCGGTTGCCATTATTTCCTGAAATGTTTATAGTCACCATCGTGAGTGGTAATTGTTTTGTTTTGTTCCCACATATACACTTAAACACTCAAAAATTCAAATTTCCCAGAGACCCTGAATACAACATTGTCTGTATTGGAATCCTCAGCTCAAGTTAATTTTTCAATAAAAAACAGTAATTTAATTAAAATGTTACCAATAAATAACACTAATATATATTTATCGTCTTCGCTAGCTATTGGTTAGCTAGTGGATCGTTAAACACTCGACATGTCAGCATCCCGTTTTATAGCACCCTTTCACCGTTGTTTTATTTCCGTGTATTTTATCACTTTCACAAAAACGTTGAATGAAAATACGATTAAAGGAAAATAAAACCTAATCAGCTACTTACAATTCCTGAGATTGAGACTTGTTAAACAAGAAACTTGTCTTTATACTCGTTTCCGTATCATAAGTTCTTTTGTCCCAATATTCATAATATTACAACAAAACACGCACGCTCAAGTTTTAATATACAACTCACAAGCGCTCGATATCACATGAAACTCACAAACCTGTGTTTACTAGTTTTTGTTTGCTATATCAGGGTCTAAGTGATATATAGCTTGCTCAGTAAGTGAAAAATTAACACATTACTGTAGTTGAATGTTTGTCGTGTCCAACGTGTCGCCCTCTCTCGGTGAAACAGGAACCAACAATGTTTTACGTTGCAGATGAAAGAAAATAAATATCTATATATAAAGCACAAAAATCTGTGTTTGTCCTTTATCTAATTGCTCCTAGACCACTGGGCCAATTTCATAATATTTTATACTTCGATGATAATTAGTTAGCTTCAAACTTACATAATGAACCTATCTCATGTATAGATGAAACTTCAATGTCTATATACTGAAGTTTGAATTCGGACAATAAGGAATAACCTATTTACAGACACGTAAAATTTCGGTATCTATGTATTTTGACAACTTGAAACACTCTGTCATGAAATATGCTGCCATGTAAGGTTTTGCTGTTCCTGTAAGTTGGGAATTTTGTGATGATGGGCGGGGAGTAAAGCAACAACGGGAACTTGTAGGTAACGGCAGATTTGCTTCTTTGTACGTATACAGAACAG